TCTTCTTCTCAGCTGAAACATTATTGCCCGCTTGTAGCAAGTTAAAAAGCAGGAACGACGGCGACAATTTATACGGTCGTAAGGCCGCGCATCGCCCCCGGGCAATGCTGCTGACACAGGGTGTGCCGATCTTTCTCAGTATCAACTCGTCCGGCAACAAAGCGGCATATGTCAAAACGGAGACCCTGCCGCCAGGGTCGACTGAGAAGAAAAGGCCGGCAAAGGGAGTCGATTTACTAACGGTCTACTAAGCGGGGTGAATGTTGGCGCACTGGATAGGAAGCAGGAAATAACGGGGGGAAGGTAAGGTATTAGAGGAGGGAAGAGGATGGGGTGAGGACAAATAGGCGTTGCCTGCATGACAAAACTGCTGACAGCGCGCCGAGGCGTCATGTTCCAATGCTGTAAGCAAGTCTCGACCGAGGTCAGTGGTGACATATTACAGAAATAATGCGAGGAGGAGGGCAGTTCGTAAGGGGATGTCTTCGTTAATCTTCAGACTCAAAGGAATAAAGTCTACTCCTTTCTGATAAGAGTTTCCACTTCGTCGAGTTGAGTGCTCCTCTTCACTGAGTTGGTGCCAGTTAAAATAAGATACGTTAGAAATTGGATTTGTAAGTATTACGTGGTTATTGCGCCGAAGCTGATGACTGGCTGATGACGGCTAATAAACCAGAAATAGTAATTCCGGTCTTCCTGATTTATGCCAGTTCCATTTCATTATATTTTAAAAGTCGTTATGCGACTGCCTGTGAGGGCTCTATAGTGAGCTCCAGGACACAACGCAGCATACTTGTTCCTTAACCAGATCGATGAGCGCTAACACTATCATCATATTCTCGAGGGCAGCCGACAAGAACGACGAGCCCGTGGTGCAATGGTAGAATGTTGCACTTATTACCAAAGGTTGTGGGTTCGAGTCTCGGGGATCGCCACCTCGCAGATTAGTTATGACTGCCTGATGACGGCTAATAAGCCAGAAATGGCCATCCCAGTCTCACTTGTCTTTGTCCGTCCCACCTCAACATATACCATAAGTCGCTGAGCGACTGCCTGCGAGAGCTCTGCAGTGAGCTCCAGGGCACAACGGGCCATACTTTTTCCTTAACCATATACAAATAGAGTGGAGGCCGGTACAGCTAGTTCTAGCCTAGTGGTCAACAGCCCCCCCCCTATTTAACAACAGAGATGTGGATGACCTAGACTGAACGGGAGGATCATGTACCGTAACCTGATCGGTGAAAGCCCATCCTACCGTTGCGTCTATTTTTGATTAAAAGTAACGGAGCAACGGTCACGTTGCTCGATAAACCAGGAATCTGGGTTAACATCTAAGATTCCCCAACCCTTTAGTTGGGTGTGGTGGAATGGCGACCACAGAAATAGCCATCACAGGCTTTCTAGCCTTTGATCTTTTCTTTATTTATGTTTAGATAGGCATAAGCAAGCCTACGGACACACCTTTTTTCCTCTTCTGCATTATCCTGTTGGCATCTGGCAAGGTGATGCCACTGGGAGCCGTGTAGAGTTCCTCGAAAGGTGTCATAATCTACAAAAGGCCGAGAATGACAGTTTATACAATGTATCCAAGAGATAATATCCAGGATAAAGGTTTCTACACCCTTAACAACTTCAAAAACAGGCACAACTTCCATAGTCAAAGGCCATATCAACTAACTGTGTATGCGGATCTGATGGCAAAAGGTAGATAATGTGCCAGTATTCATCTCCATTAGGTGCTCCGGTGCATTAAAAGATTAAATGCCTATCACAATCTTGCTGCCAATACTCAGGACTAACAGACTAACTCCCATTTCTACCGAGACGTGGGGGGAAGATATAAATTCGATCCAAACTGCAAAACTTTAGCGTCTTATGAAGGACCATACAAAGGACAGGTAATATCTTCAGCCTCGTCATTTTTTCAGGCACACAGCATTTTGAATGTCCCTACAACATATCGTCTCTGTCAAGTCAAGATCTTGAGAATAAATTATGAATGACTTCAAATGCAGAAGCGGCCCGATTTCCTAATATAAGACTTCTCCGCTAACTTTGAACACTGTAGTCCTTAGTATTTCTTATTGGGGTTGAAATTACCTGAAGCGCGGTTCAATATAACCAATAATTATAATAAAAAATGCAATTTAAATGGGAGTGTATGAATGTACGTACCTCTGAAATACGACAGTGCCTAGACTCCTCGGGCAGAAAGTCGATATCACGCAGAGTTACCAGGCCAAGAAGGCGACCACCAATCTTCCCAGTGGAAGTAATGGGGATGCCAGAGAAGCCGTGGTCAGACCGGATGCGGTTGACGTCATCAACCGTGTCATCCGGCCCCAAAACGATTGGATCCAAAATGAAACCTTGTTCATATTTCTTTGCACATAAGGGATGTTAAGATGTATGCATTTTACCTTGACCGTATGTACTTGCTTGACTTGGTATTCTATGGGGCAGTTGTGGTGTAGTATTCCGACGCCTCCACAGAGCTGAAATTATTGAGAGCTTAGAGGAAATAAATCACAACATACACCCATAGCAATTGCCATATTTGCTTCGGTCACTGTGTCCATAGGTGAAGAAACAAAGGGCAGTTTGAGGTTGATGTTTCGAGTAAGACGTGTAGACAAGTTGACATCAGAGGCCATGAAATCAAGGTAGCCTGGAAGGATGATGAAATCGCTAAAATGGAAACAGTGTTATGTGCGTTTGACGAGACATCACATAGTGAAAACGTGAACAAGCTATTTTCCCATACGGTCAACAGGACGTTTGAACTCTCGAACCTGAAAACCAGCCTATAAATTCATCAAATACCTTGAGTCACACGCTACAGCAACCGTTAACGGCTGGGTATACAAAACAGGAAACCCTCAGGCTAGTGCAAACATCCCAGGTTTACATGCGTGCATGCACTGAGAAAACAGAGAAACGAAAGGCATGACACAAAAGTTTTTGGTGAAGGAATTTTATCCGTCGATAGAAGAGAATATGCGAGTTCCAGGACGCAGTTCAGAAGAAGATGCGATCACAGGAAAAAGAATTTTATTTTTCTGACGTTCCGAATTCTATCGGGAATCCTTAAACACAGGTAACCGTAGAATGGTGTGAGATATGCGCATGTTTCACACCATTCTACGGCTACTTATGGTTGAGAAATTTCGACAGAATCCGAAACGTCGAGAAAATAAGTCTTTTTCCAGTAATCGCATTTTTTTTCTTCTGAATGTTAATGTTAATA